TGTTGTAATATGGAATGCTAAAGACAATCGTGGCAGTATCCTTTCATTTCTCCCCTGCAGTGAGGAATTCACACGCTTATTTGTAGATTGGCCATTCTCCAAAAATGGGCAAAGACGAGATGACTTACGTGGACATGGGATTTTGTTCTCGTTCACAGGACAGGAAGACCCAAAGATCTCAGAACAATGAGAGCAAAGGTACTGTAATGAGTGTTACCAAGAGGATACCTTGAATTCTCTTCTACTGTTCATAACCAAGCTTCTTCCCCTATCCTACAAACCTAACACTGTATTTTTGGAATACAGAGGGGAAAAAATTATCTCTGCAGTGCTGCCTAGTACCATGTTAGTGAGAAACCTGCAGCATCTAGGTTTGAAAATAGAACTCGTTGCTCTAGCAGTTAGGAAAAGTACATCTTTGCACATAAGCATACTCAAGCAGTAAAGCTGGTGTGGGCTTTCACACCTGGTCAGGTGGGTGATTTTCATATGTAAGTGGAACTCCCCTTAAGTTGTAGTCTGACCCAAATACCCAGAACAGAGGTTTACTTTGCTTATCTTTACTTATTGACCCACGGTTGTTCATTTAATACAATTTCCCATCGCTGTCCGCTGAGACAGTTTCCACATGTGCCATTTTTCAGAAATGACCAAAGAGGAGATGACTTACATGGACATGAGATTTTGCTCTTCTTCGCAGGAGAGGAGGAGCCAAAGATCTCAGAACTCTGAGAAAGACCAAAGGCCTCAGAACTCTGAGAGCAAAGGTAGTGTAATGTGTGTTACCAAGAGGCTACCCTGAATTCTCTTCTACTGTTCAAAACCAAGTTTCTTCCTGTACCCTAAGAACCTAACACTGTATTTTTGGAACACAAAGGGGAAAGAAAATTCTCTCTGCAATGTTGCCTAGTACCATGTTACTGAGAAACTTGCAGCATCTAGGATGTTGGCCACAGAGGGCGCCTATACATGTGCAGTGTGGCTGCTCCAATTACAGCGTGTCAGAGCAGACACAATCAAGTCTGCTGGAGTGTGGTAATTAGTTAAAGCACTCCTGCCGCCATTTTTCAGCTTGGGGACGCTGATATATGTGAGATCCCGGGTACTTTAATTAGAGTGACTCTTGAAGTCCCTCTAATTTAAGGCACCCCCACACTCCCAGAGCACATGTATAAATGTCCAGAGGTTTGGAAAAAGAACTCACTGTTCTAGCAGTTAGGAAAAGTACATTTTGCTGCACATCCACCATACTCAAGCAGTAAGGCTGTTGTGAGCTTTCACACCTGGTCAAGTGGGTGATTTTCATATGTAAGGGCCACTCTACCTTAAGCTGCAGTCTGATCCAGATACCCAGAACAGGGAGTCACTTTGCTTATCTTTACATTCATTTTGTCCTCCTTAGATTCTCCTGCTCCATCCTCTGCCTGGAAGTTCATTGGAGTAATTCTGGGCATCCTCTGCTTAATAATACTGGGAACAGTATTACTCTTAGTCTTCTTATGTGAGTATTCTGCAGAAATCAGAATAGGGGCCTTATTTACCCTTGCATGAATCCATTTTTTTGTCAATCTCCATTCACTGATATTGTATTAATGTAAAGATGTGGTAAATCAGGTGATAACAATTTTATAACTTTTACAAATATTTTAGGAAGGTTTTTCATTCATATTTAGGAATAAGTGTTAAAACTTCTGATTTTTAAAGGAATATTGGAAAATATAGCAAAAGCAATCATAGTTAATAATCAATTTCACAAAGACATAAATATAACAATTCAAGCTAAATTTCCTTTACATGCAAAACTTATTTCAACTTGTTTTGCTTTAATTGGCATAGTCCATTGTGGTGATATAGTGTATATAAGTTTTCCAGGATTCCACCCATGTGGAAGCCAGGAAAATTTTACCCATCAGCAAAGCTCTACCCTGCACCAGAGAATAATTTGCTATCAAAAAGCATACACTACCACCACAGGTAAATATTTTGGTGGAATTTGATGTCTGTCTTCTTTAGCTTCCTCCTGGTTAATTAAAAAAAAATGATATGCAAAATGCCTAATAGCATCAGTATATCCCATAATATTGCAAACTGCAGGTCTCAATAACTTTCAATCTTAAAATGCTGAGTGAACACTATAGGGAATGTTAGAAAATAATAGTTCTACTGACCATACTCACATTGAAACAAAGAGAACTAGAGCTCATCTGATTCTCATGCACTTAATAATTCCTGAATGGCTCAAGCAAGAAAATACACAATCTTTGTTCATTTTACTCAGCTACTCTGTACCAGGTAGAAAGGGATGTGTGAAAGCTCCCCACACCTGTCCTCTGATGCTGTTTGTATTGTGTGGCCCAAGATGGGAAACAAAGAGCACATGCAGACCTTTACTTAGCATGATCGCATTGCAGTATTAGTTTGGAATACAGAGATTTACCTGAATTGCAGTGGGCACGTCTACACATTCATTAATGCAATGTAGTTACTGTGCATTAAGTTTAGTACTTGGATAACCAAGTGCTAAATCAATGCACAGGAACTTGCACTACTGTGCACTAGCACTGGTGCATGGTTTTTTAGTGACGCTTACTGCACAATAGCCTTATAACACTGTGCAGTAGCATATTAGCAGGGGTTTTTCCCAGCACAGTATTGCACAGTGTTGTTAGGCTACTGCACAGTAAGCGTCTTATGTACATGTGCCCAGTGAATAGCCATGTTGGCCATCAGAACAGGACAACTGGATAATAGAAGTTACAGTAAATAAAATTCAAATAATAAAAAATACCATAGAGTGCATCACAAAAAGATAGCTAGAAGGAGGACAACTGATCGATCTTTTCATTAACTTTTTCAGGAACTCAGTCAGTGTGGAATAGAATCACGATTATGTACCTATGTCCACTCATGCAGTAGAATTTGACCTTTAATGCTCCACTTACATGGAATTTGGGAACAAAAGTGAGTTGACCAACATCAGTCAGGTGAAATGTCTGCAACTCTCTAGCTATGGAAGACAGCAATGTTCTTCCAGCCATGCACAGAAGGGCTTCTGTCTGTTCTGGAGGAGCATAGAATCAACAATAGTTAATGGAGATGTTGAGGTGGTTTTTGTAAGGATCAAACCACGAAACCTTTACCGTTGTCTATGAACCGGCTGTAAACCACATAGATACACTCTTCAGCATGGAGATTGTAGCATGCAGCTCCCAAAGTACAATCCTATATCAGGCAAGGAAAGTACAAGGGGCTCTCTCCTTGCAACAGGCCTGTCAGGTAGGACAGGAATCAGTCACAACCAGGCTGTAGCACAATTAGGAGTGGGCAAGAGGGGCACCCACCCCAGGCATCAAGTTAGGGGGGACACAGGAATTGCCCCCCTACCCTTGAAGGGTATGTGCTCTAGCACCTTACCCATGCCAGGAATTCCAAACCAGTCCCCATTTGCTACTACTGCTTTAAGACCAACAGCTGGGGTTGGCAGAGTACATGGCTGTGACATCAGCAATAGCTCAGCCAGGGGCTGCCTAGGAGTTACCAGCATGAGTAACACTGCTGCTTCCCATGCCCATGCACTTGGAAACACATATGTTCTCTCCCCTCTCTTGGAACCCATGCACACTCCCCACACCCCACTCATGGAACCATGCGCCCCATAAGATTTACACCAGGAACAAACTCTGTTTCTTAGGCACTACAGGCAGGCCAATTTTTTTTCAATTCAACACAGGGAGCACATGCACGGGTCACAAAATTACACCTGTCCTATCCATATGGGATTATGTTACACACATCAGCAGAGAGAAACAAAGAATCACAAAATAAATGTGTTTTCTTTTCAAGGGGATAAAACCAATCCATGTCCAAAGAAATGGAACCATCATGGACATGTCTGCTACCTCTTCACTACTGACTGGAAATCCTGGCAAGAGAGTAAAGATTATTGTACTTCTTTGGACTCCAAACTCCTTGACATCAAAAATAAGGAAGAACTGGTGAGCACTTTGCCTTTGCTCCCCAGCTCTGGCCACAGAATTTGTAACTGGGGCTGCAGTGCAAACTTTTGGCAATGTTTTCTTTCAAGATGTAGCCAGGCTCTGTCCCCGACGGTGGCAGTAGATCAGGAATAGCTTACCCAAGGATTAGGGGTGGGTTAGCAGGATGGTTCTTTAGGTGCATCCCAACATCATAGACTCCTTTTCCATAGCCTGGGTGTGTACATCGGGGACAGATCTCTATGTTTTTCCTTCCTAAGAACCTGAGCCCAGTTACTGGTTCCCGCCAAACCATTCAGTTTTATGGGGCTTGGTACTCTCTGTTGGTGGTTTCAAGGGTCTCTAAAAAGAAAACTACTGCTAATTAAAAGGGCCAAATACTGTCCCTTCTCTTATGTCTGTTTGTACTACAGTCAGATTTGGCAAAAAATGCTTCACATAGGAATGGCTCAAAAGGGATGTCCCTACACGTTGGAATAAATTTGCACGGCTATGAAGGGTAGTGAACTCTTTGCAACCAATTCATAAATGTAGTTCTCATGTTCAGCAGTAGATACAGAGATGATGTCAGATTATTATCAGTACAATCCTTAAACTTCTCCTCATTCAGTTTTTCTGTTTAAATATCTGTCACTACTCCATGAGATTTCCTTTTAACAAAACAAAAAATATGGTGCATGCTGAATTTTGACATATTACCCATAAACACTATATTAAAACTGTATTATTATGTCCAGGTCTAGCACTCAAAAGTCAAGAAATACCAGAATTATGGCTGTCTCAACCTTTATTCCCTGTCTCTCTCGAGTAACATTATTGTACACACTTTAGCTCTAAGATGGCATTCCACAACTGCCCATATTCAGTGTGCATGGTAAATTGCATTAATTTGAACAACTGTACAGTATTTGTTTTATCCTGAGTTATCAATAGATGGCATCACATCTTCTTTACTGGACACAATTTAAATCCTGCTCTGAAGATAGGATTAAAAAACACAGCATGGCAAAATATACCTGAAACACCCCTCTGCCAAATTTCAACTCTCTGTTGTCTAATAAATGGCAACGTCAACTAGACAGTAAAATCTCAGGATTCTTGTAAAAATTGGCAAGATAATATATTTTTGGCTAGTTTTGTCTTATGAAAGAGCTGAACAGTTTTAGCCACAATTTAAAAAGAAAGAAAAAAGACAGAAACCCAACTGGTAAAACTTCAGCCCACATAGTCAAAGTTTGACAAAATAACTGAAAAATAGGATTTTATAACAGGACATTTTATATGCAGCATTTCATCCTGTCTATAATCTTTGAACAGATTTTGCATACTAGAAAAAGGTGTGAGCAGCAGTATTAACCCAGACTGATGTAATTAAATGAAATGCAAAAGGGCCAGTGTTGCTCAGCGTTGTGCAAGATCTCTGGGTTGCATCATACCACTCCTCTGCTATTTGGCCCAAGAGTCTGATCCAAAGCCATTCAAAAACAATGACAAGACTTGCACTGACCTCATTGGGCTTCAGATTAGACAAGCCAGCAGAGCCTTCCGAAGAGGAATGGCCATGAGGTACCCCAGAGAGAATACCTTACATCTCTGGACAACAAATTCTGCCCCTCTCAGGAGAAGCAGTAACAGGATCTGAAGGTAAACGCAGGCAGTGCCCTTATTTGGAAAGATGGTCACTGAACTGAGGTTGCCCTAAGAAGAGATAAAAGAAGTAAACTGCAACAAAAATAGGACTGTATTTATTAAATGGGTGGGTCAGTTAACCTGGAGAAAAATAGAGATGCAGTTTTTTCAAGGACACTGCTCAGCAGGCAGGCAGTTCAGTGCATAGAGTCTTTCCAAGAGTCCTCAGCCACAGCGGCCATCCAAATATGCACACCAGTGGAAGAAAGGGTACAAAGAGGTGGGCCAGGGTGAACTGAATTGGCTTTGTTCCCATTCAGGAGTTCTGCAAATCACTAGCACATGTTCCCCACTGGATTGGACTATCTCGTCAGGAAGGCAATGAGACCTGGCTGTGGGAGGATGGCACAGCTCTCTCCAAAGACCTGTAAGTGCCTTTTGTCATGAGGAAATATTTCTTCCATTTGAGCTAATAGCACATTTTCTACAAACAGTGGGTTGAATAATGGTGTTTGTGTCACAGCCTTCCCAGGAGAAATGTGCAGGTGCATGGCCCTAAACAGCGATAGAGATTCTGTTATAGGGAAGAGGTAGGCAGATAGGGAGGGGATCCTCCCTGTACACCCCAATGTGGGAAGGCATATGAGATTTCCTCCAGACAGAAGGGGCACTTTGCTGTGCCTGGTGTCTCTCTTTCCCATCAATTTTTTTAGTATTTCCCCCCAATTAAATGTTACTGCTGGCCAAGGGAAGGAAAGTGCAATCTCTATTCTGTGAGGAGGCGTGAGGCACATTGAGAGAGTTGTTGGGAAGGGGCCACGGGCAGGCAGAGCCAGGGCTTCTGCAAGTCATGAATGGCATGTTGTGTATGGATACCGGCAGAGCTGTGACAGGAAGCTGACCCACTCTGTCCAGGTGTTGCCAGAGCTTCTTGAACATGAGCTTCATGAAGGATAAACTTATTCACAAATTCCTTTAGATATAACATATACTTTAAATGCCAGCCCAGCAGCTTATCCCGTAAGGAGCACCACTGCTGAGGACTGGAGGTGGGACTGGCAGGCAATAATATGTATTTCTCCATCCTAGGTTTGCAGTAGCCCAAGAGAATATCCCAGGGTGCTGTGTGCTTCTCTCTAAAGTAGAAGCCAAATGCATTTCTTGTGAGGAGCCGTTCTCCTGGATTTGCAAGAAGAAGGCTGTGCATCCAGAACCTGCTGCTCTGATAGAAGGAAAGAAGAAAAGCCACTAGAATATATTCCTGCTCCATTCCAAGTCCTGGCCAGATACACAGCTCCAAGGTTGTCCCTGCCACCAGTCTACCATTCACTGCTGCTGCCAGTGCCAGTTGTTCCAAATGCTTAGCTGTGGCCATGGGAAATACTGATGAGTGGAGAGAAGATGGGACTTGATTATTGTCTTTCATGTCTGAAACCACTTGACTGAAGCAGGGAACAGTCAGTCTGAACCTTCTCACTTGGCTCTAGGAGACCCAAGCTGCAGTCTGGTTAGCTATACGAAGCTGGAAGGCCTTTTTTGTTGTTGCAATACACTTTAACATTTCTAGGACCGCTTGCCTTAAGACAGTGGTTTTCAACCTGTGGTCCACAGACTCCTGGGGTCCAGAGACTCTAGGGGTGATGCGTAGAGGGTGCACGCGGATGCACATGCACCCTGAGTGTAGCGGTGCACCCCCTACAAAAAGGCACTGTCGACACTGTTGATGGCGCCTGTGGGCGGTCACCGTTCGCCATCCTGCTGCTGACACCACTGGTGGCGTCTGTGGGTGGTCGCCGACCTCTGGTTGGCACTCACCACCAACCCTTACCCCCCTGCCACTGACAGCACCAGTGATGTCTGTGGGAGATCCCCCGCTTACCGCTGCTTCCGCGCTCCCGCCACCATGCTTACGCTGCCACCGTGCTGCCCAGCCACAGGGGACACACGTCGTTCATGAGAGACTCTAAGGCAGGGGTGTCCAACCTTTGTGAATGTGGGGCCGGATCACAAACTTTTTATCACCCAGTGGGCCAGCGAGACATATTCAAAGACCTCACAGGAAGTGGTATCACATCAGGAAGTGATGTCACGTGACCTTTGACACCAATGAAGTTGCAGGAAGTGACAAATGAAATGGGTCTGGAAATGTGGTTTAAAATCCAAAATAAAAACAAAAAAACCCAGTACCTGACCAGGACCCCATGAGGCAGCAGGCATCCTGCCACCAATCAAACAAGACCTTGGGAAGAAATTTCCAACAGCTTCTTGCCAATGGGAGGAGGTAGAAATTAGAGAGAAAACCTCTTCCCCTTTTCTTTTTGTCCATGTGTTAACTGAAAAGGCACAGAACAGAGCCTGAAAACCTCGCTGTATTTCCAGTACCAGCCCTCTGTTCACAGAGGTTAGAGCAGCGAGGGAGTGGAACAGACTACCTAGGGAAGTTGTGGACTCTCCATCATTGGAGGTGTTCAAAAAGATGTTGGACAGCACTGGTCGGGCATGATCTAGGCCAGTGGATTTCTCAAAATACGGGTTGCGACCGAAAAGTAGGTCTCAAGAATATATGAAAGGGTCATGAGCAAACTTTAAAAATGGGTTATCCTTTAAATGAGAAAAACATATAACTGGCTTTTCTCTTGTGGGCTGGCAGAGTTTCAGCCTGCAAGGGGCTACTTGGGGCACCCCCATGCCCCACACACTGGGGCACTGGGGTCTGGAGGTAGGAGCAGTGAGGGACACTGGGTCGGGACTGACCATCTATGTCTACAAATGGGTCCTGGTACAAGAACCTCTGATCTAGACCAGGGTGGGCAATTATTTGAGGCAGAGCAAAGCAACACAGGGCACAACCCTTGCCCTGAGCCTCCCTCCCCTGTGAAAGGCAGGGACCCCCCCTACACACACAGGTGCTGGGAGCCCACAGTCACCGGCACAGCCCTGGGGGAGGTGCCATCTTCCTGCCCCGACCCCGGCCCCGGCCCAGCCCCACCTGTGGCACCCCAGCCGGGCAGGAGGCGGCAGAGGCAGACGACGAGGGTGAGCCCAGCCACCACGCCGCCTCCGTGGGTCCGCATTGCCGCACCGTGCCAGGCTGCAGGGAGCCGGAGCCGGGACCGGGTGGCACCTTGGAGCGCAGCGAGCGCAAGCTCTGCCCGAGCTTGGGGTTGCCCCGCGCAGCGCAGCCAGTGCCGACAGCCCAGTGGGAGGAGGCACCTGCCTGCACCGCTCCACCTCCACCAGTGACCCGGGGCTGGGCGGCCAAGCCAGGCTGCCTCTTGCCTGTGGGTGGGGAGCGGCGAGTTACTTGAGCCAGGAAGCGGTGGCTTCCCCACGTGGTGCTGGGGATGGGAGGAGGCGGGCCGGATCTGCACTCCTCTTCCCACACGCACTGCATTGACAATGTCAAGCTGATGCGGTGCATGTGGGAACTTTGTCCCTTCCCCAGTCCTTCAACAGCCATTAGGAAGCTGAGGGGCTGGGGGAGGGACAAGGGGCGTTTCCCATCACAGCACCCCGAGTTACAGAAAATGCCTTGGCGGGCCTCATGGTGGCCCGCGGGCCATATGTTGGACAAGTGTGGTCAAAGGGGTCCACAGAAGATAACTATGTTCAATCAAAAATATGTGAGTATCCACACTTAGAAATCAAAAGGGCCTAGAGCTCCATTCAAAATTTCTAATGCAGTCTTCAAATGAAAGATTGAAAACCACAGCCCAGACAGCAGTCATTTTGTTTCCAGAAAATCAGACACACACATACACCCCACCCTTCTCCTTCATTCACAAGAAGCAGTGGCACCAGCAGCCCTCCACAATGTGCAGAGGTCTCAACACATATGCCCTCGCTCCAGTGCTGCCCGTTTGCAACCTGCTGGGACAGAGTAAATTAGGGGACTTGTGGCAAACCACTTGCTTGTGCCAATTTCCTAATTATCACGTCTCATACAGGTGGGCTTTCTTTCTTCACACTGCTGCTGTCATAGGGACTCTACACTGTGCCCTCTCAGAGAGATTTCACTGTGCTCTTCCTTAATATATTTCTCAAAACACACCTCTGACACAGAAAGTTTCTGGCTGCTCTTTGTGTCAGAAACACTGTAAAATAAGTAACTGCCTTTCCCATTCCTATTTAATGAGATTGCAGACTAATGGCAAGTTACCTCAAGATAATTATTTACTCAGATTTATGGCTTAAAGCAGGGGTGTAAAACGCACCCAGCCCCATGGCCCGGATGAGGGTTATTGGGTCAATCTGCAGGCCAAACCAGGGCTAATCAATTGTGCAATGCCCACAGTGCCAGGTGCAACCCATGCACCACATAGTGGCCATAGGACTTGCACATGCAAGGAGACACCTGAGCTAGACTCAATGCTGCACACGTCCTCAGGGGACTGGGGCTGCATGGTGCATCCCAGACAGACTTCTAATGCTGCCTGCAGTGTGCAGGGCCAGGGTCAGCACATGGGGGCCAGTCCAGTGACCAACAGGCTGGATCATATAGCTTTCAGGCTAGATCCAGCTTGCAGGACATGTTTGACACCTAGACTTATAAAATTATAACCTGTTTTCTTTAATAACAATTCACTCAGAAATATCAGTGATACCAGCAAACACCCTAACATATTATATTTCTCCCTGCTCATTTTCTCAATGTAAAATCAGTGGTGAATGTATAACTGAGCCCTTTCACTGTGGAGGGGACATGAAGATATAATGCCTTCCTTCAAAGAAAGGACTGTATATGCTGAGTTCAGGCACATGGTAACTGATGAATATACCAGATACTATCACCTGAATACATATTCCCTTTCCTGTTTTCCCCAAAAGTGAAAGACCAGGCCACAATCAGAATCTAGGAAGAAATCACTAGTGCAGACTTTATTGGTAAGGCATTTAGGCTCATGTTTTCTGTACTACAACCTGTGACTTGCTCTGACACAGAGACCACAGGGCTATTGCAGATAAAAACCAGAGAAAATCTTTAGGCAATTTTATTGGAGGATGTGGAAAGGGAGGACAAGTTTCTACACAGTCCAACCTAAGTTGGTTTTGGAGTGATCATTGGGGTCAATAATACACGCATACAGTGAATGAGAAGAAATAAATGTAACTGGCATACCGGGTTATGTACTCCCTTCTCCAATTAAAGAAAGATGCTAGCAGGGAAGGTGTGGTGTGTAGGAAAACTGCTCACAGCGCGCATGTGGCAGGGACCACGCCACAAAGAGAAACTTACCAGAGGGAGGAGAGGTGTGGAGCCAGCGGGATGCTGCCGGAGACCGGAAGTGCAGCCAGAACGGGGCTGTTGAGAAAAAAAACTCTGCGCCGAAGACATAAGAGGAAAAACTGCAGTGAGCTGGGGGAGAGCCAGGCCCAGCACCGGCATGGACCCACTTTATGGCGGCGTGCCAACTCTGATTCGCCAGCTGACTCCCTGGAGGGAGCATAAAAACCCCACCGGACAAGGATCAAGGAGGACCAGAATTGAGTCCTCTGGAGGGCCCAGAGTGGCCTGGAGCTCTTTGCAGCCCCACTGAGGGCATGTGGTGGCAGCCCCAAGAAGGGGCATGCAGGGATATGCTAAGCCCAGGAGGGCCTAGCTCCTTATCTGAGAAAGGTGCACTGGATCCCAGATACAGCCAGCCAGGAGAGGGACGGCAATGAACCTAAGGACAAAGAGAGAGAAGGATCCTTGGGCTGCCAGGGACCCAAGCCAGAGGGAGACAGAAATGTACCGGGGAACACGGTAACCCGGGGCTGGTAAAATTACAGGCCAGTTAACATACGGCTTAAGCCAGACAGTACGCTGTCCAAACTGGACTTTTCTGACTTAAAAAGGCAAAACAAGAAAACCTTTACCGTGATGAGCGTTAGTAGCAGTCTGGAATTAACATCTGGTTGGCATAAGA